AAAAGATGTATTATACACTACATTATGGCCAAAATAGAAGGACAAAGTTTCCTGTGAAATTTTGTTAGGTTTGAAAAAGTGATTATTTAATCATTTATTTGGTTTCCTTGTTTGTAAAATGGAAATAACATGTGACTGTCATGAGGTTAAATTTATATGAAGCATTTGGAATAATTTCCGGATTTGGTTAGTGCTTTTATTATTGACAGCAGATTAATAGGCTTAATAAAAAATTCATGCAAATAATTAAAGCAAAACAGAAACCCATAAAGTTCCAAACATAAAATGAAAAAAAAAAATCAACAAAATTTATAAATTGGGAGTTGGGAGACATAGGAGACAGGCTGGTAGTAGGCTATGTGCTTAATATGTGATGCCCTGAGTTCAATTCCCAGAACTGAAAGAGACAGAGGAAGCAGGGTGGGGAACTGGTGTAAAATTTTCAAAAATTATTTTACATTGCTTTTACAGATTTATTCCAGAAATAAAATAAATGAAAACCAAGATATACAGTACATAGAGATGTACACAGTAACATTTTTTTAAAAATCTAAGAATATCTGGAGGGCTTGGTATGTACCTCTGCTGAGCTAGAACAAAGTCCTAGACTCAATCTCTAGCAATGTAAACACAAATAACAAACAAGAAAAGTATCCATTTAGATATAAATGAAATACAGATTTTTTTTTAAAAAGGCAGGCATGGTGGTACACACTTATAATTTCAGAACCTGGGAGGCTGAGGCAGGAGGATCAGTGTGAGTTTGAGGCCAGTCTGAAGTACATAGTGAGTTTAAAGCCAGTTTCTACATAGGGACACCCTGCTTCAACCCAGAAAAAACTTAGAAATTCAGATTAACTTACATGTTTTTTTAAAAACCTGAAATTTTTACTTTGAATAAAAACCTAAACATAGTTCTAAAAGGTTAGCATTAGACAAGTAAGGAAATGGCTGAGTGATTTATAATACATTTTTACACTGTTTAGCAATGACCCAAGATATTTATAAAGCGGGGCATGGTGAGCATGACTGTAGTGCCGTCACTTGGCAGGAGGATTCTCACAAGTTTGAGGCCAGTCTGGGCTACAGGATGAGTCAAGGCTGGCCTGAACTACATAGTGAGACCCTGTCTCAAACCACCCCCCCCCCAAAGATACTTCTAAAGAATTTTAAATGAAACAAAGATAATAAAACAAGAGGAACTGAACTTGGTAATGCATGCCTGTAACCCCAGTAGTTTGGGAGGCGGATGCAGGAAGATTGCAGTTTGAGCACAACCTAGGCAGTTGCCTCTAAATTTTAGGAAGAGTGAGGGCCTGAGGATACAGCTCAGTAAAAGTTCCTGGATTTAATTACCAATATTGGGGGGAAAATATACTCTTATATACAAAGCAACTAAACAACCATTTTTAAGGTTTATACTAGGAATATAAGGTTGAGCATGTGAAATTCAATTAATAGACTAAAATTTTTTAAGTAAATAATTATCTCAGTAGATGCACAAAGATCATCTGGTAAAATCTAACATTCATTCCTGATAAAACAATCAGCAAAGCAGAAAAGGACTTCCTTTTATCAAAAGGAAGATAATGAAAATCTGCCATCTAACATCATATAATGGTGAAAACTAAATGTCTCCTAATATTACAAACAATAGGAACAAGATAAAGTTTTCTCATGTCACTTAAATTGAGTGAGGATTGTACTGAAGGTCTTGTATATTTCAATCAAGATAAAAATGAATTAAATGGAACCCAAAATGGAACGTATTTTTTTTCTCCAATCAGTATTTAAGGGTACATTTTAGATATACATAATAATCACATTTATCATAAAAAATTTGTATCTGTACATGATGTAACCTCATTTCCTCAGTTTCCCTACCCTTCCTTCAACCCTTCCTTCTCTCCTCATTTACAAAAGCTGTTTCAATCTTTTCCTTTTTTCTGTCTTTTTGCTTTTCCCTAGGAAGAAGTAAATACTCTTAATGTGAAATTGGCATGATTATGCAGAATTCTATGAATCTTTTTAAAAAGCCAGTAAGAACCAATACTTTAGATTAGAAAGGTGCAGAATACAAGATAAATCTATAAAAACAAATTCTGCCTAATAAACACTCAGAAACTAAATGTTTAAAACATCACTTTCTCTCTCTCCCTCTCTCCCCCTCCCTCCCCCCTCCCCTCTCCTCTCTCTCTTTCTCCCTCTCTCCCTCCCTCCCCCCTCTCCTCCCCCTCCCCCTCCTCTCTCTCTCTCTCTCTCTCTCTCTCTCTCTCTCTCTCTCTCTCTTTTTGGTACTGGGGATCAAACTCATGATCTTGCATTTGCCAGGCAGGCACTTCTGCTGCTGAGCTAAACCCTTAGCAAAAAATGTTTTTACTTTTTCTTTGGTACTGGGGGAATCAAACTCATGATCTCATACTTGCCAGGCAGGCACTTACACTATTGAGCTAAATCCCTGGCCTTTCTTTCTTCTTTTGTTTTCTTTTTTTTTTTTTTTTTTTTGTACCAGGAATCGAACTTGGGACCTAATGCTTGTCAGGCAAGTGCTGTTCCACTGAGCTGTATTTCCAGCCCTAACATAACTCTTAAGTTGGGGCGTATTTTCAATGGTAGTGCACTTGCCCACATAGCACATGTAAGGCTCTGAGTTCCATTTCCAGCCTAGCAAACAAAATAAACAGCAGCAACAATAATAGGGCTGAGTATGTAGCTCAGTGGTACAGCACTTGCCTGGCAAGTGTGAGGCCCTGGATTTCATCCTCAGCACCATAAAAAACCAAAATTGAAAACATAGTAACAACCCAATAAAACCAAAATATGAAATACTCAGGAATAAAACTGATAAAAAAATCAGCAAAATGTGTACTCTGAAAATAAGATTGCTAAGAGAAATTGAAGACCTAAAGACAGACAGACTATATTCACAGACTGGAAGATAATATTGTTATGATGACAATTCTTAAATTTAGACAGATGCACTAGTACAAATTACATTTCAACAGATAGGTTTTTTTTTTTTTTAAAGACATAGACAATCTGATTGTAAAATATATATGAAAATCAAAGGACCTAGAACAGTGTAACAACTTGGAAAGGGAGGACCAAAGTTGCAAGAGTTATACTACCTGACTACAAAATTTATCACACCTGTAAGTAACCCCAGCTACTTGGGAGACTGAGATAGGAGGATGCGAAGTTTTAGCTCGGCCTGGACGACGTGTGAAGACCCTGTGTCAGAATTTTAAAAAGGGCTAGGGAATATAGTTCAATACTGCCTGGGTTCAACTCCCATTGGGAGAAAGAAGGAACAGACAGACAGACAGACTGGCCAGCTGAATCTAAACTGAGCCCAAAGTTATAGAAGAACACATCTATGACAGATAATTGATTTTTGGAAAAAATGCAATAAAAGACACTGTGGCACAGTAAAACAGTAGTCTTTTTAAAAAGTACTGCTGGAACACTGGACACTGATAAACAAAAGAAAACAAAAAAAATTTAATACATTCTTTGTATTATATACCAAATTTAACTCCAGATAAATCATAGACCTAAATATAAAACTTGCAACTATATTTCTCTTTCTTTCTTTCTTTTTTTTTTTTTTTTGTACTGAGAATCAAAAAACGTATGAGTATCCTTATACTCTCAGGTTTGACAAAGATTTTAGATTATGATACCAAAAGCACAGCTCATTAAAGAAACCACTGTTGAACTGAACTTTGTAAAAATGAAGAACAAGGGGTTGGGGATTTAGTTCAGCGGCATAAGTGCCTGCCTTGCAAACCTGCGATTGTGAGTTTGATCCCCGGCACTAATTAAAAAAAAAAAAAAAAACATAAAGAACAAAACAAGGGAAAGGGAAAGGGAAATGAAAAGACTGGGGGAAATTCTGTAAATCACATATCTGACAAAGGACTTTGATCTAGGCAGTATGGTGGCACATTCCTGTAATCCCAGTGGGAGGCTGAGGCAGAAGGATTACCCCAAGTTTGAGGTGAGAGTGGGATACAGAGAATCACCTTTTCTCAAAAAATAAAGCAAAAGGAAACAATACAAAACCAAACCAAACCACTTAAATCTAGAACATATTTAAGAACTTTAGTAATAAAGAAAATAGCCTAATTTAAAAAGATTATATAGCATCAAAGAAGATACTATGTAAGTGGCAAATAAATTCATGAAAAAAGGTACCATTAGTTAAAAAGGGAAATTATATTAAAACCACTAACAGATAAATTAAAACAACACACCACAAAGAAGTGTAAGAAAAGATCATAGAGCCAGGGATGGTGGCACACCTCTATAAATTAGGAGGATCCCACGTTAAGGCCAGCCTGGGAAATTTAGTGAGATCCTGTCTCAAGATTAAATGAGCAAATGAATGAATGAATAGGACTGAGGATGTAGCTTAGTGGGAGAGTGCTTGCCTAGGATGCACAAGACCCTGGACTGAATCTGGAGGACCTCAAAAACACAATACACAACAAGTCTAGCTACACCAAATGTCTTTGGTTGCCTGGGTTTTCTTTTTTTTTTGTTTTATTTTAGTTTATTAGAAAATGTCAGTTGTGTATGATTACACTCATTTTGGGGAGTTAGTACATGTACATAATATACTTTAATTCTTTTTACTGCCCCCTCATCTCTATGTCCCCTTCCTACTTGTAAAATACCTATCTCCCCATTTTGTATTATCTCTTTTATTTTGCACTTTAAATTTTTATACTTTGGGTTTCTCATAAGAAAACCATGTGACATATATGCTTGTCTTGATTTATTTCAATTAATATTATGGTCCCAAGGTGTATCCATTTTCCTACAAATGACTCAAATTATCAATCTTTTCTTTATTTATCTATTGATGGACATATAAGCCAGTTCTAAGATTTAGTTACTATGAGTTGGGTGTGACATAAACATAGGTATTTCTCTATCTAGTATGATGTCTTTAACTCTTTCAGGAAGACATCTAGATGGAAATAACTGGTCTGAATAAAAATAGGCAGTGCTTCATAAACTTACACATCATCCTTTGTGGAGGGGCCATACTAATCTTCTCTATATCACTCTTACTTCATTTTACTTTTCATTATTTTGAGGTCTTGCTATGTAGCCCAGGCTGGCCTCGAATTATCAGTAATCCTTCTGCTTCAGCCTCTACAATACTGGGATTACAAGTGTGCACCACCACAACCAATCTAATTTTAATATACATGCTGCTAAAACAAGTGTTTGGTAGCCCTTCTGTCTCCTGGAGTCTTCACAAAACTTCCCCCACTGACTCATATTACAATGCGTTTCTCTTCCTCACAACCCAATTATTCTTTATATAACCATAATCTAATCTCTGTGATTTGATTTTTTGTTTTTATTCTTTTTCTCTTGGGCAACAAAGTAGTATCAGTAATCCCTCATAACTGTGGGCTTGCTCAACAAAAAGTTCTAAACAACATTCTATGATCCCACTTGTATCAAGTAAGTAGAATAGTAAAATTCACAGAACCAGAAAGCAGAATCATATGGGGGAAGGACAGAATGGTGAGTTGTTATATAATGGGTAGAGAATTTCAGTTTTATAAGATGAAAATTGAAAATTGGTTGCACAACAGTATGAATATATTCAATATAACTTATCTGTACCTTTAAAAATGGCTAATGGGAAAAGGCATAAGGGTACATACCTGTAAAGCCAGCACTTTGAAGGCTGAGGCAGGACTGCAAGTTTCAGGTTGGTCTGACACCGATGACCTAGGCAAGACCCTACCTCAAAAAACTGAAAGATTAGCCAAGCATGGTGGTACACACCTATAACCCAGTAATCTACAGATGGGGCGGGAGGATTATGGCAAGTTTACCCTTAGCTACCTAGTGAGCTCAAGACCAGCTTAAATTACATAGCAATACCCTGCCTCAAAACAAACTAAAACAGTTGCGATGAACCTAGGGACGGCGTGCCACAGCAAGCCTGCAAAGCCCTGTCAGCCATCCTGTGGGCCAGTTCGCCCCAGCAGCGAAGCACCAGCTAACAGCTGTTTTGTTTTGTTTTTACACTAAAACCTTTGTATTCAGATTTAATCGCAGTGTTGGCACTTTGTGCTAAACAACTCCATTTTAGGTTGCAGTTTGGACACTTGTCTTTAAAAAGTCCACCATCACTGAACTAAAAGGTCAACGGGCTGGAGATCCAGGACAGTGGTAAAAGCGCCTGCCTAGTATGTGCAAAGCCCTGGATTTGATCCCCAGTAGAGCAACACAAGAAAAATGATAAAATGGTAAACTTTGTGTTTTAACATATTTAAAATAAATTTATAGCCTATCTGGCTTTGAATTTTAAGCCCTGCCATTTTCAAACTATGTAACACTGAGCTCTGTTTCCAGAACTATATAGATGGCCCTAATTTTAATAGTAACTATGTATCATTAACTTGTGGAGATAAAATTACTAAATACATGTAAACTTCCTGCAACAGTCATGGCACACAGCAGTACTGTTATGTGTTTGCTGTTGTTCATTTTTAAAAACATAACTCAATATGGCACTAACATCGACAAACAAAAGTGATTTCTCCCTATGCAAAACTGAATAAAACAATTCATGTGCTTGAATCTCAGGGTTTTGGGTAAACATTTGCCATAAAGCCTTTACATTTCTACATCTGTCACTGCTACAGCATTACCATTACACAAACTGCAGAGAAATTTCCCTATTGTCTTACTTTTTCAAAATTTTATTTACGAAATTTCTATTTAATACGATCATTTTGACATATGTGCAGAACAAATACGTTTCTAAGAATTTCTCTTCAAAGAATCTAACAGTACTATTACAGCACGTTTACTAACGTCTATGGATTCACTAGTCTGTAATGAAAAACATCTGATTTAAATCCATCTATTGTAGCATTATTTCTGTGGCATCGGATGTTTTGCTCAAGTGTTCTAAGTGGAATTGCTCCTTTGCTATTTCATTTGTGTCACCGATCTCAGAGATAATATTGACTGTTTCTCAGCAGGATGGTAAATTGAGCAAATGTTTGTTTGCTTGTTTGTTTGTTTTGTCTTTTGAGACAGGGCTTGCTATGCAGTTCAGGCTGGCCTTGAGCTCACTTTGTAGCCCAGGTTGGTTTCGAACGCTAAACCATCCTCCTACCTCAGCCGCAAATGTAAAATTGGATAAAGCTACGACTTTCGTTTTCTATTTTGTGTGAAAAAAAATTCAAGTATTTTTCTGTGAACATGAGATGCTCTGTAATGATCAATCAGTATAGTTCTGCATGGAATGATTTCTTCTGAAAACTCTTCCTTGAAAATAAGACAAGTAGGTTGGGAAGGATAATAATTAGAGAATACAGATTTAAACCAGATAATCCTCATCAGAGGTTCATCACTGATTGAACAACTGTGAACTTTGTTTTCCTGCTACTTCACTTGTGGGGTACATCTGATGAGTCATTAGCTTTAATAAACAATCTATAAAGGAATTAAAAAAGTATACTTCCTCTATACATCTAATTTCCTCCTTCTTTGTTTCATTTCTCCAACTCCCTTCTCACACTTAATAGAATATTTTCTCAGCTAATATTTATTATATATTTCCCCCCAAATCTTCTGGTTTGCTCAGTGATAGATCCCAAATGCCAAAACAATGCGTGGTAGCTGGTAGGTACACTCAGTAAATATCTGCACAAGGATAAACTGCTAGCGCAACCTTGCTTATGGAAGTACTTCTTTTTGAGACAGGATCTCACTATGTAGTTCAGGCTGGCCTTGAACTAACAGTGATTCTCTCTGTAGAGGGTTGAGATTACAGGTGTGCACCACTATCCCTGGCTAGGAAAGTGCTTCTTTTGAGCCATAGCCAAATTTTATTATTCTCCAGAGCACAGGACCTACATTCTAATTTTTCAAAAACCCAGTGTGCAAAGCTGGCTTGTTTACCATCTGCTATATCAATTCTACACATTATTATTATGCAACTGTATTCATCCACTTCATAGTCACAGCTCACAGTTCCATTATGTCATCCTAGTATGCACAGAGAGGCCTACAAAGGCTTTTGAATATCCGGAAAACTGAACATGCTAAATAGCTAGATCATGTGGATCTTATCCTCATGGGTCAAATATGAATAAAGTAAATGCAATATCAATACCATAATTGAATGGAGAAAATCCTAGGAAATCTAAAACAAAACAACGCTAAATGCTAAACAATGCTAAATGTAAACAATGTTAAACAATGCTAAATGTAGGAAGTAATTAATATTGTATAAGACCATATATTGGGTTTCTATATACTAACAACAAATACAGGAAAATGAAAATTTTTAAAATATCATTTAAAAAAGTGTTTCAAAATCTTAAAAGTTAAATATGCATGTACGATAGGATCCAGTAATTCCACTCTCAATTCCACTCTCAAGTACCTATTTAAAAAAATTCTCATGTCCATAAAAAATCTAGGGGGCTAAGGATATAGCTCAGTGGCATAAGCACCTGTCTGACAAGCACAAGGTCAAGGTCATGAGTTTGATCCCTGGTACAGAAAAAAAAAAGAAGAAAAAAGAAAAAGAAAACTGAATTCATAAAAACCTAGTATGCATGGATATCTACAGATTTATAAAATTCCACAATGAAAATTATCCAGTTTTCCTTCAAGTTGTAAATAGGTAACATGTAGTTCATCCATAAATGAAACAGTGTGCAAACTATCTGGGGCTGGAGGTGGACCTCAGTGGCTTGGTATGTGCTTAGCATGGGTTCAAGCCCCAGCAAGCAGCATTACCACCATCACCATCACCAGAAACGAATGACACAGACAATTTTTAGACATTATACTAAAAGAAGAGGTATGAAGTATGATTATTTTTATACATAATTTACAATAAGCAAAATGAATCCATACAGCTATAAATCAGGTTAGTGGTTCACTGCAATAAAGGGGATAATTGCAAAGGGTCACAAAGGAATCTTCTGAGAGAATAAAAATGTTCTTTGTCTTGGGCTGGGGATGGAGCTCAGCAGGTAGAGCACTTTCCCACATGTAAGGCCCTGGGTTCAATTCCTAGCACTACAAAAGATGAAAAAAATTGAATTCCACATTTTGGTTAGAGGGGTGATTAAGCGCATTCAACTGCTAAAGTCACCAGTCTGTACTCTTAAAATCCATGATTTTTTGGGATAAGGTCTTGGTATGTAGTCCAGGCCAGCTTTGAATTCATGATCCCATTGCCTCAAAGGCCTGAGTGCCAAGATTACAGGCAACACCTAGCTAAAAAGCTGTATTTTTTCCTACAGATATTATACCACAACAAGTGGATTTTTAAAAATCTTGGCCCCACACACTGTAAAAATCTTGTATATGTGGGTCCTCTTCTCATACTAATCCCCTTCCTATCTTTTATCAAGTAGATATGATTACAAACAAAAGGGCTGAAAGTATAGCTAAAGACTTCAAGAAAGAAGTGGATATCTAGTCTCATTAAATCTAGCTCAGAGCCAGTTTTAATCTCTTTCACCTACTACTCAGAATGGCTGAACCCACAGGTGTACACAGCTCTCAGAGCAGAGAAAATGCAGCTTTCATCAATTACCCAATAAGTGTGGGCCACCTTGAAACACGCAACGCAACACTGCATCACAATCATTGGACAAGAATAAAGCACAGACTAAAACCTAATGACCTTTTCACAGTAACTTAAATCTGAATACTAAATACCAACAACCATCTAAAAGCTGTTATATCCAAACAGAAGCATAGGGCAATTCTGCACTAAAATGGAGAAGACAGATTTAGAAAAAGGGGAAAAACAAAACCAAACCAACAATGATAAAAAACGCTAGTAGCCTTCTCATAATTTCAGCCATCATTAGAAAGATGTCAAACATTTGGGATACATACAGATGCTTATAGAAAATAACAGAAAACAGACATAAAACTGAATGTAATAAAATGTTATGCATAATGCTTCCACTTGATCAAAGAAAAGATGACAGGGTATGGATGTGGCAGAATGTAAGAGGGAATGGTACAAAGCCAATAAAGGCTTTTAAAAAGAGGTATTCATAAACCCTGGAATCATAAGATGAATAATAACCAAA